ATCCGCCGTCGCTGTTCGTTTGCGCCGTCTTGCCGTTTTCTTGAGTTTTCTGCTTCTTGTCGTTAGATCCCTAAACCTTAACCCCTTTTGTTTTAGCTGTTCATTCAATCCGTCAAAGGTGAGGATGTATCCATGCCTTCCCTCCCGTATTATCTTCCACGCTTGTCTCTGGTTAAGGATAAGCGGATTTTCTTCCCCTGCAGATTGCGCTTATGGCGTAACTTGTAGTTTCTTGTTGTGTGTTGTGATTTACTTTTACTTGTTTCTGAACATAGATCTAGGACCACGGTTAATTTTTTGATTGCGGTTTGATGTTTGATTGCTTGTGAGAATTGTAAGTTGCATTGCATATAGAGTGTTAAGAGCACAATTGTATTAGGAGCCGAAAGTGATACAGTTCCACTTATCGGATTGTTGATGTTGCGGTAGATGCAGTTCCTACCTAGACATGAGGTTCGAAAGTGATGCAGTTCCACTTATCGGATTGTTTGGGTTTACAGTAGATGCAGTTCCTACCTATACCGATAGTTGAAAGTTATGCAGTTCCACTTGTAGGGTTGTTGAGGTTATGGTAGATGCAGTTCCTACTTAGACCTAATGTGATTGCTTGTTGTGTTTATGGTAGATGTAGTTCCTACCTAGACCTATTATGATTGTTTGTTGATTGTTGATTATTGAATAGTTGTGAATACTTGTTCGTTTAGCTGATGGCTAGCGACATGTTTAGGTTGTGATATGTGTGGTAGACCACATGTATGCATTCTCCTGGGTAATCTAAATTACTCATCCCCTCCCTGTCCCTTTTCTCCCTTTCGCAGGTGAGCAGGAGCAGCAGCAGTGATTGGCGTGTGATGGTGGTGACTGGTTCTCTAGTTCGGTCCTTGGGGTCCTTAAGACACTTAGCTTTCTATTTCAAATGGTTTTCAGTTGGTTTTGAGACTTGATTATGATTTACTTGAGTTTAAGTTGGTTATTTGCAAGACTATTTGGATTCATATCTATGAGTATTGATTTGGAGTTAATGCTGTGGTAACTTGGTTGGAAAGTTGAGTGTTTAACACGTCATCTCATATGAGGAGAGGCGGTGTTACAAGTTTGGTATCAGAGCCAAGGTTACCAGTCAAACCAGTTCTGGCCCGGGAGACATGTTTTCAAAGTAAAATCATTTTCAAAAGTTTTTAAAAGTGGGTTGGGGTTTTCAAAAGTAAAACAGCATCATCACACCACGTCACTCTGCTCTCTAGGCTCAGTAAGTTAGTGTTTTTAGTTATCTTCAGTTCATCTTCATCTACTGTCTACTGTCTACATAGTGTCTACCGTCTTCATCTGTTGTCTACATCGTCTAGTGTCTACTGTATCTGCATTAGTTGTGGCTAATCGAATCGGAGGACACGATTCTGATTACTTATTCCTATGAATAGATGCCACCAAAGGGACAGCGTTTGACTAGGGCTGCAGCACGCCTTGAGAGTGAGGAAGGAACCCAAACCACTTCAACAGGAAATGTGAATGGAGGCAATACCGGGCGGACTCGTGCCAGGGGGCAGGCAGAGGAAGCACGTGCTCAAGCTTTAGCCGCGCAACAGGCTTTAGCTGCGGAACAGGACCGTGCCGCCGCCCAGGCTCGGGAAGAGCAGGCGCATATGGCTGAGCAAGCGCGAGAACAAGCGCGTATTGCAGAGGATACTCGTGTGGCTGAGCAGGCTTGCATTGCTGAGGAAACTCGCGTTGTAGAGCAGGCTCGAGCTGCAGAGGCAGCTGCTAAAAGAGAAGAGCTGTTGAGGTACCGCGAGAGGTATGGAAATCCTCTTCGTGGAAATCTCAATGCGGAAGGAGTGTATGAAGGTGCCAATCCGCACCGTGATGAGCCGCAAGTGGAGGTACACTTACCCCCACCACCACCTTTGGGTCGTGGGCAGGACAGGGAGCCTGTACCAACCTATTGGGAGGCTATGAACCACGTTCGTCTCATGGGAACTGAGATGTTTGCGGGTAAGAGCGATCCTACTGCCGCAGACAACTGGAGAAAGAAGTTGGAAAGGAATCTTGATGGAGCAAGATGTCCGCTAGCAGACCGCAGAGACCTGGCCATCCAGTACCTGAAGGACGAGGCGCTGGTATGGTGGGAAGGTCTTGTGGAGAAGGCTGAGGGACGGTATGAGCTCACCTGGGAAGATTTCAGGATGGAATTCTCCCGTAAGTACTTTCCTCGCGAGACGATGGAAAAGATGGTGAGTGCATTCCAAGACTTGCATCAAGGAAGCAAGACCGTACGTGAGTACGAGGAGGAGTTCAATCGTTTGAGGAGATTTGCTGGTCACTACCCAGGAGAGCAAGAGTTAATCCGACTTTTCCTGAGAGGAATGAGGGTTGAACTCAAGAATCGCTGCTCCATAAGAAGGTATGACAGTATGATTGACCTTGTGGAAATGGCTGCAACTCAGGAGATTGGAATGGAGGAGGAGCAGAAGCTTGCGCAGAATGCCTCTACTATTTTTTAAAGCTGAAGTTGATAAAAAAAATTTAATCGAGGACACATGCTACGTCCGCCTCTACTGTCGATTATGATTAAATTCTAAAACTAATTTTTACTAATATAGCGTTGTTTTTTCCTTTTCCTATACCAACTCTCTTCCTTACTCTTCTTTAGTTGTCATCAAGACAATGGTTGGAGATCTAATGATTGATTTTTAGACAGATAAATCACGTTCTACAATTTTCTACGTATATGATTGAGATATAAAATATGTATGTTATTATATTCTCATAGGATTTTTCAGCCTCATGTACCTCTCTTCACTCTGCAAGAGAAAAGCCGACCGGAGTTGTATCATTGAGCACAATCCTACGGTATCTCATGACTCTCTCTCCAATCTTATAAAGCTTAGTGAAAGCATCTCTCAGTCTAAGAACCCTCACCATAATGCTGCAATGAAACCTCTAGACACTCTTCTGCCTATAACAACTAATGTCTGCAACTCACGTTTGGAGTCTCCTCCTAAGAAAAAGAAGAAAAAAATGAGAATATGTTTTCTGAAATTATTGGTGAGTCGTTGGCCAATAGAATTCCATTGACCAAGCAATGGTTGATTGATTCTTAAGAAAAAGATCATCGAGATGCTACTACAAAGAGTATTCTGCACAGTATCCAGACCTTGCATTACATGTGTCATCTAGATGATCACATGACTAATTATCTAGCTGCCTTCATTGGAATCTACTGGGATTTCGAGAATTTCTCTATGCCTTCTGAGCGTGATGCAAAAACCTTTTCTACAGCAATAGCTGGTTACATGTGAAGACATGGTTATCTGGGTAAATTTACAATCAATGCGTATGAAAATGTCAGTCACTTCACCCAAATAAAGTTTGGTAAGCTTGTGAAATCAAATGTTAGGATATACCATATATCTAAGCCTAATGTGGGCTTGAACTTACCAAGAGACCAAAGAATCAAAAACTATGAAGAGAAGAAGATAATCACTAGCTGCATTTAGATGTGAGACCATATTTTACTGAAACATGAGCCCCAAGTTGCTATGGTAATATCAAACAAAGACTTTAGTTGTTATGAAGACAAAAGTAATGGGCTCTTATCTCTTGTGGTAATTTAGAATTCCACACCATTTTCAATAACAACTAGCCAACCATAAACCATACTTTAGCCTAGAAAAGACATCTTAAGGAAAATTTGGTGAAACTGCTATAATGTGGTACTATAATGGGGTGATGCATCCTAGTTTTGCAGCTTTCATATGGTTTTTTCGTAAAATCTATCGTTTTTAGGATTTTATTAATTTAAAGTTTTTCAGTTAAATTTTATTGTTTGAAAGCATATATATGATATGAAATATATAATTAAATAATTTATAATGTATGATTCAAACTATAATTAATAGGTTTTTCAAATGGTATATGATGCATAATCATACCAATAAGTGTTATAACTATGATTTGTACACAGAATGAACATTACAATTTGTAATGAATTTCCATGTTGCTAGATGCTGAATAATATCATTTTTACAATGAAGAAACGAAGAAATTCATCAAAGTTAAATAGTCAATATAAGAAATAAGTAAGATAGCATCATCGCTTATAAAGTGTCAAAAATAATTGACTATATTTAGATTTGTTTACTAAAAATGATTTGAACATAAGGTTAATTTGAATTTGAACATAAAGTCATTTTGAATTTTAGAAAACAAAACACAAACGAGAAACGGTAACACATGTAGCGGATTATCATCAATTTATTCACTCTTCCAAATTGACATGTCAATTAATGCAAAGCCAGTTATATAATTTGGATAAAAGGTGACGAATTTGTTTTCTTTTTGTTACATAATAATTTCTTTATAAAAAGGGTGATGAAATTATTAATGGTTGGCATTTGAGACAGCTGAACACTGAATTGTATGTATATAGTATATATACATATGTCAATTTACTAATATAATCTTTCATTGATGGTTGACAACTGGTTGCCACCATTATTTACTGTATGTATTGCATTTTTGACAAATGGGGTACAATTAACTTTCATTTCTTTTTGGTTAAAAGTATAATATTACTTTTTTTTTTTGGGAGAGAGGGGGGTTATGTGATATATATTATTCAGAATCAGAACCCAAAAAAAAAGAGAGGTAAATGGCTCCTCTAAATTATGAGATAGAGAAAATTAAATGTGAAACAAATGAGCAATTGTGCAGAGAAGTGCGAACTGCGAAGTGTGTAATCTAAATCAGTGTTTTAACTTTTCTTAATCGAAAGGTTTTGTACCGTTTATTTCCCAAATAATCACGCCATTATTACATTAAAAATCTCTATGTACCCTAGAGATAAATTGAAATGGAAATTTTTTTTGCTTCGAAAATAAAAGGGAAGAAGGCTAAGTGCAAAATTATAATTTAATTTCAAAAGTTCCTCTAAACCAAATCTGTAAGTTGGATCAGACTAAATCAGATCGGGCCCAAATTATTTTGTTATATTTTATTCGAAAATTAAAGGGACAGTTTGGTTTAACCGGTACGATGCTTCCGTCGGACCCGTCTTCGACTGCGACACACCACCACCTCTCCGCCGGAGATTGCGAGGAAAATCACCCGCGAAGGCGTTCGCTGCGCCTCTTAACAAGGTTCGCTCTTCAAGTTCCTTCTTTTAAAAGTTGCAAATTTTGAAACTTTCATTTCGGAAATCTCTCAATTTAAAATCGCAACATAAAGCTCTTGGTGAATGACCTCGTTCGTTAGAATCACTACTGTAATCTTCTGATTCAATTTCATTAATCATCCACAAACCCACCTTACAAACAGCCAATTCAAGAAAAGGCTAAAGCTAACAAGAACGAGTGTAGTGCCTCTGTCTTAAGTATCATATCATATAGCTTCTAATGTCGAGTGAGAGTTCTGAGTAATCCCCAAATCCAACACTTTGTTCACAAAATGTGAATACTTGTATCTCTTCTCTGTTTCTTCATTGCCCTGAAACATTGTCTTCAGCTTCATCTCTAAACCCTTTGGAGTATAGTTTAAATGCTTACTCGAAGGTTCCTCTTCCGCTAGAACCATTATGTAGCTTTGTAGGTAACTCTTGTATCTTGGCACAACCGTTCTCACCATTGCCTGACATATCTTCCATCTCAGCTTTTCATCCTCAACAACCCAATTAGACTGCTCTGTGTATATCTCATCAAAGCCTTTAGCAAAGGCTTGTAGTGTTCGTTTAATCGACTCACGGGCTCGTTTTCTTTTCGCAGGAGACGATGATGATGATGATGATGATGATGATGAAACGGCTCGAGCTTTGTTGCTGAGTAGAGACAAGAGCTTTCCCCAGCTTTCTTTGACGTATAGCGCTGCGTAATAGTCTCTGTACTGCTCGTGCGCGTTTAACCAAGACTCTCCCATCATTTTCCCGAGATGAGTCTCTCTCAGACCGCAGAAATGGCTGTGGTTGTTCATCATAAAGATGCAAGAAAGAGCGGTTCCTTTGTTGGAACTCGACCACGCATCCAGATTCAAAGCAATCTCTCTCAGTATGTTGTAGATGTGGCCTGTGAGAAGCTCTCCTTGGTACTTTTCGTTTTTCCATCCCAGATCGATCTCGAGAATCTTGGACAAGACTGGCTTGTTGCTGTCCCCAAGCAGCTTGTTGCAGTACTCAGTCACGACACTCACAAGCTTGGGGACACCACCATCAAGAGGTGGGCAGTTTGGTCTTTGTAGCTCCACTTGACAAGGTAACTCCCAGAAGATCTCGCAGACGCCATTAACGAGATCGCTTATTAGCTCCCTTGTTGCTCTGCGTATCTCTGAACACTGCTCACCTCTAAATAGCCGGTTAAACTCGATTCGAATGTTGTCCATTGTAGAGAAACAGTCTAAGAGCTTTAGCAGCTTTGGTGGATCTTTCTTGCATTTGCTGATTCTTGATCCAAATCTGAGTAGTTGAAGGATCCCTGAATCTGTAGCTATTTCTCCAAAGCAACGCAATGGAACATCTTTTCCAACATCTTCAAAGACCTCACCGCAGAGCTTGCTCTCAAAATGGTAGATCTCTCTCACAGCTATCTCCATGTCCAACCTCCATTGATCTATATCGCCTTCAATATCATGTACATTATCAGCCTCTGTGATTGTTTTCTCGAGATAACCAACCTCAAACCGTTTCTTGATGACCGTTGTGCGGATTTGTATGTAAACAGGTACACAGTTTGCTAACCGCTTGTGAGCGTCTAATCTCTTGATGATAGCATGCAACTTTCTCAAGCTGGCTTCTGACAAAACCTCCTCTTCGAGGATCCGCTCGAATTCTGCTTCTAGATTCTCCAACGCTGTGCAGAGACTCCCTCCTCTGAGATAAGCACGAGCCTCGGTCATTTGCAGTTCCCGCAGAAGTTCTATCGAAGTCTTGAAACGCAGACCGCAAGGATGATCTTCAGGCATTCCGTTTTCGGTTAGGAACTCGATGGTGTCTTCAAGCCAATTGAGAGCAAGAAGACAGCTACTTGAGAGAAGCTTCATCGCTTCTCCAAGACGTTTAACATCCGAAACATAACCGAGGACTCCATTAGAGGACTCGAGAGAGATCTCAAGTTCTTGAACCGTAGCAAAGACTCTCAGTACGGCGGATATCGGGGCAATGGTGTGACGGATATGATCAGAGAAAGGAGAAGATCTCCATCTCTCTACCTTAACATCAGCTTCTAAAGACAGCAACTTGTGGTTGATCTCTTCAAGCTTGGATCCTGTCTTGTGTAGAGCCAATGAAAAGGTTTCTGATTTCTCCATCTCACTCTTCAATAAACTTCTCATTGCTTTAAGTCTCTCAAGGCTTTTTGCTTCAGCCATTGTGTTTGTTTGTTGCTTACTCACTTAAAAACGATTCAACAACAGTTTATGGATATATAACGATCCTCGGCAGATAAACCAAATTTCTTACCAAACCCACCAAATGAAGAAATTACACGAGTGTTATTGTATAAAACCAAAAACATGAGATTTGGTCTTTTAAAAAGTACAAGAATTGTTACATTTTAATCATTAACTTAAACCAAAATCCAAGTCTTGTTTTATTTGTTATAGTCAGCTCAACCATCTTTATCTGATGTTTAACAGTTTCTCTTGCTTTCTACAGTTTGATCATCTGAAAAAAAAATGGTTCAAAAAGTCAAACGAAATTGCCTCATCTTTGTTGCATAACTTGCATTTATGTATCTAAAGCCGAAAAAACATTAACTTTGAAAACTACAAAACGGACATATACACGAAATTCCTTCTAATGGAAATTAATAATATTAAGTAATTTCGTGGAAACCCAGAAAATAAGTTGTTTTTTTGCTTTTTTATGTGTCTTCACTTTAGTTTTCAATTAACCAATCAAGAAAATAAGCCAGCAAATCTGGGTTTAGCTCTATCTTCGAGTAAACTCCAAGAAACAATGATGTAAAGAGTTGGCTCGCTATATGTATCTGGTAGATGATGAAAGTTGGATAGGAGATTGGTACTTTATGGGCCGATTATTATGGCCCAATGGGCTTAATATATGTTACCAGTGAACAATGGGCCGATTCAATTTTTGTATTATTGAGGTAATAATGTATGTAATTGGACGCAAGGGAATGTGTTAGCCTTTTTTTCCTTTACATTGTCAGCAATGGAGCTTCGAGACTCGTTCCAATCTTAATAATGGAAACACGAAGCTTGTGTTTTGCATCTATTCTATTTCTTTTTACATTTTTCATTAGTTGTATGCAAATACGCAAAAAAAAAAAAAAAAAGCCTTTAAGACAAATAATAGCTAAAGACAAGATATTGATTGTTACGTAACAGTGGAAAGAGCATAAAAACTCAGCACATGCGTGGAGAATCAAGACACTGTCATAAGCTAATAGAAGATATGTTGCGAATTTATTTTAGTTTTGGCATATAATCGACATATGATTTTACAATGTAATCACGCTTTTTCGCAGTAATGAATATCCAAATATGTCATCAAATAAAAAACAAATATCCCAAATAGACTGGTTGATTTTCTTTTACTAATAATGCCATGAAACCAAGAATGGAATGTTATAAATTATAATAGTTGGAGTGTTTTTAATGGAGTAATTAAAAAACGATTTTTTTTCTTTGTTTTTATCACAAAATCAACAAAAAAACAACAACGTGTAAACTCAACAAAGCCAGTGAACCACACATGTGGTTTCAGTGACTGCAAGTGTTTCCCACGCGCGATATCGTCGCGTGGATGCCTTTCCTCCTCGATATAATTGTCTCTCGATTTTAACAATTTTGAATTTCGCTTTTTTCATTTTCTATTTTTCTTAAAAACTCTAAATTAACGTTCCTTTTCAGTGTCCTCTCAATTTCTTTCGACGAACCTTCATTCTCTTTTTGATTTGATCGCTGCTACGAAGAACGAATCAAACCCTGCCAAACCCTAGAAGACGACAACGACGAAGACGAAGACAAATACGACTCCTTTCTTATGTATGTATAACAACTTCAAATCAACCTTTTGGAATCTTCAGATCGTGAAACCCGAAAAGTAAGAAGAAAACAACAAAAATCGAGCTTAAAAAGCTTTTGATTCCAAGCGATGAAACCGATTCAATCGCCTCCGGGAGTATCCGTTCCGGTTAAGAGCCGTCCTCGCCGCCGTCCAGACCTCACTTTACCGCTTCCTCAGCGCGATGTCTCCCTCGCTGTACCTCTTCCCCTCCCACCGACTTCCGGTGGCTCCGCTCCTTCTTCCGCCGGATCCGCGCCGTCTTCCGGCGGTTCGGCGTCTTCAACTTCGTCGACGAGCTCGAACAACGCCACGGAGGCGAAGGTCTATTCGGATTTAGTGCGAGGGAACCGGATCGGGAGCGGAGCTGGTGGAACGGTTTACAAAGTGGTTCACCGTCCGTCGTCTCGCCTGTACGCGCTCAAGGTGATCTACGGGAACCACGAGGAGACTGTGAGGCGCCAGATCTGCAGAGAGATCGAGATTCTGCGGGACGTGAACCACCCGAACGTGGTGAAGTGCCACGAGATGTTCGATCAAAACGGCGAGATCCAGGTTTTGCTTGAGTTCATGGACAAAGGGTCTCTAGAAGGTGCTCATGTGTGGAAAGAGCAGCAATTAGCCGATCTCTCTCGCCAGATTCTCAGCGGGTTGGCTTATCTCCACGGCCGCCACATCGTCCACCGTGACATCAAACCCTCGAATCTCCTCATAAACTCCGCTAAGAACGTCAAGATTGCTGATTTCGGAGTGAGCCGGATCTTGGCGCAGACCATGGATCCGTGCAATTCGTCTGTGGGAACCATCGCGTACATGAGCCCTGAGCGGATTAACACCGATTTGAATCAGGGGAAGTACGACGGTTACGCCGGAGATATATGGAGCTTAGGTGTGAGCATCCTCGAGTTCTTCTTGGGGAGGTTTCCATTCCCTGTGAGCAGGCAAGGTGATTGGGCAAGCCTCATGTGCGCCATTTGTATGTCGCAGCCGCCGGAAGCTCCTCCGACGGCGTCTCCGGAGTTTCGCCATTTCATATCGTGCTGCTTGCAGAGAGAACCGGGGAAGAGACGAACCGCTGTGCAGCTTCTGCAACACCCTTTCATACTGAGAGCAAGCCAGAGCCAAAACAGGTCTCCTCAGAATCTACATCAGCTCTTGCCTCCTCCTCGTCCTCTGTCTTCGTCTTCTTCTCCAACCACGTAGCGTTTTCTCATCCCTCTTTTATCTTCTTTTTTTTTTTGTTGATCAGTCTCTTCGAATCATTGGTTACTGTTCTTGAATGTTGTCCAATTTTGCGCAAGCTTTTTCATAACTTATCAAGAAGCTTTGGGATAGTGGAGAGAGAGGATTTAGGGATAATTGAAATCTTCTTATCATTTGGTGAATGTGTTTGCTAGAAAGGGAAAGAACAATGAGAAATTCTTATGCTTAATGATGGCAATGACTTTGCTTGTATCTCCCCCAAACTGTAGCTTTATTGAATTTTCATTAAAAAAAAAAAAGTTTTGCATTTCTTTTCTTCTTTTGCCGTATTATGCTTCTCCATTTGCATCTTAAGCCTCATGAGAAGGACGGTTTCTTTCCGTTTATGCCAATGGCTTTTGTCTGGTAATGTTAGACAAAACTATGTCTTCTTTTGTATTTAGCTGAAAGTAGAGCGTTACTCCGCCCACTGTTTTGGTTTTTTTTCACTGATACTCTCTTACTCTTTATCTCTTAATGAGGTTCCGAATCATATTCAGCAGTTTTTACAGAAAGAGTCACTGATTGTTCTGAAGAATCAAATGTGCATCTTTCTTGACTATTATCACAATTGATCCCGAGTCACTACCATTCTAAGTCTTTCTTGTACTCCTCTAGACTCCTCTAAGCTAATATACTGTTTTCTTGCGAAGGACCATGAAACGTTAATAGTACGTCACATGAGTGTTTGGGAGGTTTCAAGTGTTTTGCTTTTTGGGTTTTCTCGTATCTTTTGACTTCACCGTGTGACTCAGGGAGCTAAGAACAATCTTGAATAAGCTTTTTTTTTTTTGTTTTTACGCACGGTTAACATTTCTTTTTCGGGGTGCCAAATATTATTGTAAAGTAAAAAACAGAAGAAAAAAAACTAATCGAATAATCTACTAAAAGAAATCTAACAAACAAGATCAACAATCTGTTTGTGGCACCGCCAGATTACATGCTGCTGGTCCCGGAGTCTCCCGACGGAAAAGCCATGGACAGGGGTTTGTATCGACGGATCACGTGACTCTTCTCTTTTATGGTAACGCTCCAGAGATTCAGGAGAGTGTGCCTTGCGATGCAAGGGAGTTTATTAAGACGTGTTTTGCAAGGAACCCTGAGGAGAAATGAAGCGCGTATGAATCGACAAGACAGAGATGATTATTTCCGCCACCGCCGCTGAAGAGAGAAGAAAGTTGAGATTCAGACGAGTTTCGAAGAAATTGAAGATCTTTCCATCGAAACCCTCATAGTTTAACTGTTTATGAAAAGTCTTGAATAAACCCTTGAGGTTGAAGATAATTTAGTTTCTGTTCAGTAGTGTGCTGAATTCATTATAGATCAAATTAAGTTACGTGTAGATGCATAATCCGAGTAATTTATTTATGAGAAAGAAAAAAAAAGGTCGCTGTTTTCTCCAGCTTAAAGTTACATGAAACCAAAAAAAGAAAAGAAACCACCTTTATTACAAAAGGCTCTCGTTACACGAATCAAGACGACAACAACAACAAGCGAAAAAAAAAAAAACCAACAGACGATTGATTCGTATGAGTTCTTCTCCTTCGTTTGGGGTCAAACAGTTGTATGTATATATACACATTGAATCATCTTTTGCATTTTTCTCAGTTCATCAACCCATTCGCTAACTTTGCCCTCAGATCTTTCCTCAATATCTTTCCTGATGGAGCTTTAGGAATGGAATCAACGAAGAACACTTTGTTGA